CTCTAGCTGTTCTTTATTGAATAATTTTCACTAGAAGTACTATGTGATCATGACCATATGCCTAATTAGTAGATAGACAAAAAGAACGTAAGTCACGTTAATACATTAGCTAAAATAAATAAAGTTCCATCGGAAGAAAAGTTTTAAAAAAATAAAAAGTACTGATTGGATTTTGGAGATTGGCGGGAAGACCAGAACCTGTAAGTAGTAGTTCAGAGATTATAAAATTTAGTTTATAATATCCTACATTTACTATTGTCTCAAATAGGTCCAATTAAATGAGTCATACCAAGTAAATACTCATGCTATTGGAGCCATCAAAGTGAATTTAAAACATTTTGGAAGTATTGGAAAAAGAACTAGTATCGAAATATTTTAAGTACAAATAAAAACCAGGGTGTTATCTCATTTAATCTTGATATTTAGACTGACCGGAGGCCGTATTTCTACACATGGCAGATTCATCTAATGCGCTGAGTGAGCCTGTGTTAAGGGCTCGTCTTTTCCACATCGTCCTTAGTCAGCTCAGGTTTGCCTTAAGTTGTCTCACCGAAACTTGCCGGAACCGGCAACATGTCCTTCTGAGTTTCTTCGTGGATCATTGTAGGTGCGGTTTTAAACCCCCCAGTTATACTTCTTGACTTCGAAAAGTCAGCTTTGAAGTGGATGCGATAGTTGGCCCTCGAACACTTTCTTCGGATGGCTTCTATCTTAATCAAGTAGTGAGTTCCTTATCCGAAGTGCTCTCGCTGGCGACAATTGATTCGGCAGCTGCCTTGTTTGCCTCGGCGGCGACGACTGCGGCGATTTCCTTGTCGATTTTCTTCTTTTCATTTACATGCTTCGTCATCTTAGGTAATGAGAAAATTGATTCGCTTAAGAAAAAGTCATTTAGAAAAAACGTTTGTGTGGTATATAACACGACTACGATTATGCAGCTCAAGTAAAACAATACTTATGCTAACTTCAAAATGTGTAAACGTCGGCCTGTCGAGACAGTATTTGATGTTTAAAGCGTAAGCGTTAGTGTTGAAGGGGATGCGAAAGTACTTGATAAATAGTGTTAGGTTCGCCTCGTGAATTAGCAATATAAGACATTGTGCCTGTATTCAATAATCCCAGTTTACTGGCACCGCCGTTGCTTAATTATACATATGTAAAGGTTGATACATACAATCACGCGTTGTCTTTTTTATTACGTTCAGATAAGTGGCTCGGCAATTTGATCTCTATGATCTAATATGAGTCAATCTGTGTAAATAGCGAGAAGGATACTGTTGTACCCGAGCAGTGTATACTTGTAGACGGACATAATTATTCCGAAACTGTTTAATGGAATAACTATTTACTTTTAATATCATGACCGCAAGACAAGACTAAAACGACACCAGTACCGGCAGTAAGCGGAAATACGAGCTGTATCTTCAGAACCATTGACGGGACACTCATCACTAGTAATGGCTTTCTGCGAAGAGATATGTTCAGTCAGAACTACTGCTTACGAAGCTGAGATCGGGTTACTGTACTTACCAGATGCATACGCTCATGTTATCTCTTGTATTATTTATCATCGAGAGATAATTTGGAGAGGGCATATACCCCTAAGCACTACATCAGTCGTCACCAGATTTACTTGGTTGCTTCGAGTCCCATTTTGCATAGTGGGATCGGTCCTAGTGGTGGTCAAAACCGGCCGTCTAAGTAATAATGTTTTGTATGTTCCGCCTTCTACGTAATAGTGTTTTGCATGTTCCGCCTTCTACGTTTTAATGCTGTATATGTTCCGCTGTCTTCTGCGTAATACTGTTTTACATGTTCCGCTCACCGATTCATGAGTGCCCATGCAAAATTCAATGCTCCGTGCCCTCAGAGCTTCTCTCCTTTGAGCGAGAGTGTACAGGGTACTCGCCTGCACTCTCAGCATATAAACAAAACTCTCATGTCTACTCTGTCGACTGGGTGCCACGCAGCACGCTCGAAGATACGGTTGCTCACCGACTACCGACTCTAAAGTGCACACGCAAAGTTTTAAGGTTGTTCACACGCGTCTGAGTTAAAGTGGATAGGGTGCTCGCCTGCACTCTATGCATATAGATACACTTGCCACGCACAACCAACACCCCTATTTCACGAAGCATAGCGTCGTATTTTCATGGCTATTTTAAATTTCTTTGCAATGCAGCGTAGCATTATACTATAATAAATAGTGACGTAAACGTTTCATTCCCGTTCTGTATCTACTTGTTTCACATACACCCTAAAACCCAAATTGGACATAAAAAACTACGGCTTAAATGTTTACAAGCGACAACAACAACAAAATTCGAACGACAGAAGTGTAAATAACTTTGGATACATGTCATCAATAGCAGCTATGTTGGTCGCGCAAGAGAAGGGGCAATTTTTCTACAAGCATGATGTAGTCCCAGTCGTAAAGGTTCTTGTCAATAGACAGGTACAATGTTTTTACAACTCGAGACTTTGAGTTCGGGACAAAGAATACAGACACTTCTCTTACGTCAAACATCGCTAAATATTACTCGTAATGAAGCCACAGAGGAAAAAAAAGGCAGTGATACTTTCGATTTAAGAAATTGTCGTGCATAATCATGCATGTGAACATGTGTACTTACAAACGTGTATGTACATTCGCACAGATATACCATATATGTGGAATTAATATCCTGTAGGGGCAAACACAAACACACTTAATTAATCTACTACATGTCAAAAAATACTATTATATATATATATATATGCACTTTAATTTAATTACTGTGGAATTATATTCATTTATTTGCATGGTCAACTCAACTTCAACTCACCTTCACAAACCTCATATAGCCAATTCGTTCTCTAGCTTGCTGATGATATTCGTTTGAATAGTATATCTTTCGTCGTTCTGTGGATTTGCTTTGCATTTGTTCTTCCGATCTATAGATTTTGTTTACTAAGTCGATAGAAGTCCGCGAATTTTCAACCTTGACAACGCCTTGTGATTGCATATGATTGTATGGAGTGACTTGTGGAGTGCGCTGCACCTTGAACATGTCTGGGTTTGATAGGTTTCGTGCTTATTTTGTCTACTACTCTTTAGTAGAAGACTCCGTGCTTAATTTTTTGATAGCCGTAACCCCTGACCAAAGATATAGATGGTTTCGTCGTTTGTTCGAACATCCCAAATTGCCGGCATCATCAGCATTAATAAATATGATCATCTCATATATAAATAGTTGACTGTCGATTTTCATTTTGTTTGGCCTATGAAAGGCTATAGTCTCTCCACAAGTGTAGAGCTCGAGAGTAGGTGAATAAGATACGACCAAAGGAAACAATAGACCCTTTCTCAAGTGCGAATTTTTCAGCTAGGTAAAAGTCCTAGGCTGAAGGATTCGCATTGAGCCTTTATTTGTGTTCGGTGTTTCTACACCAGACTCAACTTATACTCAAGTGTTTCTCTCACACGCGGGAGTCCCGGTATTATCTGCCGGTAATCCTGCTATATTTATGATCACTCTAATATCAGAAATATTGGATCCTGGATCCAAAACTCAGTACTGTTGATAATGCTGGGTTTTGGGTATCTGGTCCCTAGATGCTACACAAGTCTTTCCATACGTCATATAACTTCCTATTTTTTCTTTCAATATAGTCGTCAAGCGAAGTCGCTTGACATTATACCATTTGCACAACTTGAATTTCTGTATTGACGTTCGGTTTATTGTAGATTCATATCCTATCCGTTTACCTACTTATTGGAGATTTGAAAGCAATGTATGTCTAGACTTCACTGCATTTAATTCATACCCGGCGTGCCGAATCAGCAGGTGTCCTGTTGAAGCATTACCTTCGGTTACAATAGTTCTGGGCTAGTAACTCCCACAACAGATGATTGCGACTATCTTGTACATTTAATGTCTATATGGATCCTAGGAGGTGGGATGTCTGTTCATAACCGATTGGAAAAAAGTTAGGAACCATTGTGTGTATCATCATTGGTGAAAGCTCTAACCTGGCAACTATTTAGGGCTCTTTCTTAACGGTTTTCAACACTTCGTCCCAAGCGCCCTCGGCCGTATTCTGGTTGTTTCTTACCAATCGGACCACCTTCTTTTGCAGTTGTCACAAGTGGTAACTTTCTGCAATACTCAGGAAGAGCTAGATTCTCTCGGGAAGTGTCGTTCAGAAGTAATACCTCCTAACACTTTTCTTTTTTAGCGATAGCGTAGCCATTCGACTCTCAGTTGGAATCGTTCCTAGTGGATGCCTACCATGTGCACCTTCCTTAGTATTTATGACAATTCCAGCCTTCCCTGCATTGCTCTCCTCATAAATCGTCGTGTATACTTATCAGGAATAACGAATAGTAATGCTCCACTATTTTCACATTATGCTCATCGAATACTATCGTTTGTGTTTTTGTGATCGTATGTGCGTCTGGGCGCAGGGGCCCTTTGTGTCATTTGTCGCGGTTGATGATGGTGTCCTGTCGTCAGAAAGCGTTTCTGGAATCACATCAGGTAGACATTCGAGCTGTAAATGCAATATACCTGACAAAGTATTTAAAGTCAATATTTTGTGCTGCGTGTCGACAACTGATTGTTGCGAACCCAGATAACTGTCATTAAGTCGCGACTATTCAAGTTCTTCGGAACCCATACAAAAAGTGTTCAGTTGCGACTCTTCAGGTAACGTCAGCGTATCAACATATATATA